TAACATATATCTGCCACAACCTACAAAGGGTTTCCTCAATTTGTAAATGCAGTATACCATAAAGAATACAACTAAAGCTTTCACTTACCATACACTTTGGTAGAAATTAATTTGGTTAAGACCATAATGAAAAAAAACGCTTGTTCACAGTGATCACTTGGTTTTATTTCATTGGCTCTGTATATCCCTGTAATTTGAACAACAGTGTTAACCCTCTCTCTACAGGTAGCCCGAAGTGCACATATCATGACTTTTTAGGGAGTTTCATTCAAAATTTAATTAAACCACTTTATCATCATTGTATACGAATGAACTTGGTGTCAGAATGTAGTTAATAAATCAAGTCTTAAAATTATACAAGTTTTAAGTTTTTAAATTTGTAAAGAAATGTTTGAAAGAATTCTCCATCTCCCCTAGTATGATAATTGTGACATTTGTTCTCTAGGTCTAACCTCTTCTCTAATTTATATACCACCCCTCCAAAAAGTATGAAGTAAATGTACATTATGCATTATAATATAGTTATTACTAAGGCACAGCATAATTTGTATAAACTTCAATCGTATTTGTTTATGGAGTCATAAATTAGAAAATTAGATCCACTTGCCACTCTTGCTTTGTGTGTGTTATTATTATGTGTTCTTAGGTACAGTATGTAAGTAAATAAAAACTATTTATTGTACTAGAACCATTAGTATAAATAAGTAGGGTTACATTTTATCAGCAACTGACAACAAAAAAATGAGGTCATAGGTGAATGATATACTCCTTGTTTTTAATGTATATTTTTACTAGCAGAGTACCTGGTGTTGCTCAGATGAAAATGGCTTTAAATATCCTGAGTTGTTTTGATTAAATCAACCATAGTAATCATGATTTTTTGCAAAATAATCAAAATGATTTCTTTTCCTAAGTAAATATTTTGATTAAAATCAATGAAAATGGCAATGTGCAAAAAATAATAATAATTTTTTAAAGCTATTTTAATCAAGGCAAAACTGGATACGTTGCTCCTGCTTCTTGCATGACATTTCAAGTTTCCAAAACAAAATTTCTTACCCTTTGGTGTCTTGATTTCTGCTCTAGGGTCAAATGTTATTTGCAGCGTATTCTGACTTTATTATCGTTCAATTTAATGAAGAATTGGTTTATTCTCTTTTCGTTGGAACACAACGTAAATGAAAACTTGACGATACCAAACGTGTTTGTAAAGTCATTGTATAGCAGATTCTTGCGAGTACACGCAAGCAAACCAAAAAATATGGCTGAAGCAATCCTATGTAGTTGAGGGAGTGTGTGTGTGCATGTTCCAGAGGAAGCACCAGCCTTTTTCAGTTCAGGGGAGTTAGAGAGCAGGCATATATGTGTTGAAGAAAGAGGGGGGGGAGCACAAATGAAGGTTCCATGAAGTTTTTAAATCATTTTAACACATAACTGATCATGGATAAAATGATAAGAAGTTCTCACACAGAAAAGAAACGTAAATAATAGCCGTCTTGATCACACATTACCAGTTAAATCTGGCCTTTTCAATTTGAGACCAATTGGTTGTCCTATTTGCCCAAAATTGCTATATTAGTCACTTTGGCCTCAAAACAGCCTCTGAGGCCTCAGCCATATGGCCCATGTGAATTCCTGCACAAAATTGTATCTGTACCCCAAGTTTGGAGATTGTAGCTTTAAAGATGTGACAGAGAGAGAGAGACATTTGTGTTTCTATATCGATTTATATTATAAAAGGAACCGAAATGTAAAAACTATAAACTTGTCAGGTTCGATAAGTTTAGATTAGGTAAGATAATAAAAAATTATGACATACTTCAGTATACTTGTGTGTTATGTCATTCAATATTGTAACATGAGATATGTGTTCACTGAGTGATTTACAACTTGTGAGGGGAGGATTATTAGTTAGACATTGGTCAAAGGGCAATAAAAAATATAAGTATGTATAAACAGATGTATACTGTTACAAGCTTTAAGCTCTTTAGAATAAACAATTGTAGTTCCACGTTACAATCTGGAGTCATTCTGGAAAGAAAACCGATAATTTCGTGGTTACAGGGTCACTCAAATCGACTGGCTGCATATTGAATTAGGGTGGTGAAGATAAAAGATAAAATATGAAGTTTTACTGAAGACAAACTTTTAATCTTTATATAGGGGGTTTTAGGGATTATGCAAATGAAATATGACAATTTTCAGATGAAGAAAAGTATTTTTAATTGTAACATGAAAATCAGTTTGCACTTGGAGCAATCAATGCTCTGACTATACATTCATGGACTACGTTTTTGTAAAAACACTCAGTTACAAAATCTGCTTTTTGTGTATGAAAGACTTATAATGCTTATTAATAGTTTTCCAGATTTCATGAAGATACACAGAACATATTAAAAGTTATGGTATGGAAACTATGATGGTTGCTTTAGGGTTACAAGGTTGGTCACATTGACCAAGCCTGTAGCAAGAGGGTGAATGGGTATCCTTGTTTGTCACAAGAGCAACCAAAATGTTCAGTATACATAAACATGTTGGGAAGACCTTCCTTAGACACAAATTACTTTTCTTACTTGTAGGTTAACTATTGTCACAAAGTAAGGAGGCTATAAACATGTACAATAAAGATTTTACTCTTGGGTGATCTCTTTACTCCAGTTGTTTGATCAGTTAGAGCTCAAACTGTCAGTCCTCATGAAGTTTTGGGATTTCCATCAACCTGAACTTGAGTAACGTTTGACATTTAAAAAACGATTGATGATAATTATTGACCAGTAGTAACTGATATGAAGTTATGTTGTAACTCCCTTTTCATGCATGGCAAGTCTTAGCAGTGGAGAATTTTAGGCACAATTTATATGAAGTAATACTTTCATTATGAGCAGGCATCATTTATTTTATGTATTTTGAGTATTTATTTCCGTATCATTCCAACAGCCAGAGCTAGATGGACAGAACTTTTAAGAACAGATAATCGGGTTTTCAAGCTATTCTTTCAAGAATGGATGTGACAGGGTTCAGAAATAGCCAAATTCTGCATCCAGGGTGAGATTAAAGAATGAACAATGATGTTTTTAATAATAGAGGCTCTAAATGTAACATTGATAACATCCTTGACTTTCACATGAAACTTGCATTAACTTGGCCTTCCACATGTCTGGGGCCTAGTATGATCTTGTGGTTTGGAAGCTTAACCCACAATCTGCAGGTTGTAGCATTCAAATTCAGCACTGCTTGTCCTTTCTGCATTGGAGTGTTATAATGTGGTGATCAGTCACACAATTCATTAATGAAAGAATGGGCCATACATTAATGATGGGTGCCTTCCATCTGGTTGACAGTTAGCCATAGTAGCTTTGCTATAAACAAATCATCAAACAAACAGTTTTCAATCTGTGTCTGTTTTGTTGTAATAGTTACTTTTATAGTATGTTTTATTGTTATTTTGTGTTTTAAGACATTGATCAAAGTTAGGAACATATTATCTTTGGCTGTGACTTCAGACACATTGGTGGAGGTAAGGAAATAGTCTTATCATCACTTATTGTGTCTGGCACATTGAACAAACTTAGGAAATGGACTTATCATTGATTGTTGGGTGTGACATATTGGAAAAAGTCAGTAAATAGTATCATCACTTGTTGAGTCTGACACATGGGTAAAAGACATGAAATAGTGTTATTACTTGTTGAGTCAGATGTATTGGAAAAAGTTTGGGAATTTTCTTATCACTATTGAGTCTGATACATTGGAGAAAGTCAGGGAATTGTCTTATCAATTTTTGAATCTGACACATGGGTAAAAGTCAGGAAATAGTATTATCATCACTTGTTGAGTCTGACATATTGGAGAAAGTCAGGGAATTGTCTTAACATCTCTGTTGAGCCTTACACATTGGAAAAAATTAAAAAGTCAGTGAATTGTCTTATCACTTGTGCATTAACCCTATATGAACCAGTGAGCACTTTCAGGTGTAAAGTGCACATCTATATATTGAATTTCAAAAGATAAGTAAAAGTAATGATTCAAACTGTATTTAAACAATTTTAAACATAGAAAAATGTTTTTGAATTAATATATTTTTTTAATTTTGCATCATTTAGTGTAATTTTCAAAAAAAATGGAAAAAATTAATGTTCCAACTTTCTGCAAATCCCTGAGGTGTTGCACCTATAAACAGTGCACTTATTATTATTATTATTATTATTTTTTAGAATTTTTTTTCTCTGCCCATTCCAAAGCATAGGTTGATATTTGCTAAGGACCTGTCATCCTTTTAGAATAAAATTTTCTTTCTTTTACGTACATGTTTTTCTTTTCATTGGTTTTAGTACCACACTCTGACCCCCCCTCTCCATGGCACAGCGGTATGTCTGCAGACTCACAATGCTAGAAACTAGGTTTTGCTATCCATGGTGGGAAGAGCACAGATAGCCAAGCGTGTTGCTTTGTGTTTAACTTCAAACAAATACCACACTGTTTCTACCTTGCTATAATGTAACAGCAAGTGATCTGAACAATTACCAATAAAGCACAACATTGAATATAGCTACAGGCAACATTGAAATATGATTGTATGGAGTAAATTATAAAACTATATCCGTCTGTCTAGAGAAAATAAAATGATCTGAGTAGTAGTTAGTGGGTCTGTTGGAAAGCGACTACATGGAACTCCTGTAGGGATGAACAATCTAATGAGAAATTTAGGTGACTTGGGTATAAATAACAGATCTAGTAATTGTTTTATAGTTTCTTAGTCATTCTTTTTATTCTTGAAAAGACCTCATGTGAGCTTAGTTAGGTTTAGTGTGTATGATAGGTAGCAACAGAATATTCAGATGCTACTTTGCCTGACAAAGATAATGGTGACACACTTGTTACCTAGCCTTACAACGGCAATGGTGGTACCATTTGTACCTTACCTGACAAAAGTAATGAGACCATTTTGAAAGGTCAACTTCTAGATCATGTTAAAACTGACTGGATGTATAAAATGGAAATTCCAATCAACATTGGAAAAAAAAAAAGTATTGTTTTTGGAAGCAGTGCCTCAAAACAAAATGTTTTAAATTTCAAAATATACAAAACTAACTCATATTATAGGAATATCTTTAAGTCAAAGCTCAATACTAATTAGTAAGTGAATTCTAAGTTTGATGCAGTTTAAGTATTTCTACATTCAGAAGGAAAATCTCAAGGGATGTCATTGATAAACCTCTGGTCTAGATAGGGTTTGGTTGATTTTACTTAGCGATAATGAATAAATAAAATATACACAATGAAAATTGTATCTGTTAAATCCACTCTAATGCTTGGTATTTTATTGTAGGTGTTTTTTTTATAGTTAACAGTAGTTCTAAACATTACGTATAAAGAAGCAATAGTAGTTTATAAAGTAAAATATAATGTGTTTTCAGAATAATATTGACACATCCTGTTACTATAGACGGTTTGAAAAAGTAGGTGTTAGTAAATTTTTACCTGACTAATTCAATCTTTAATAGCTACATTATTTGTTTTTGTGGTGGTTGTTTTTTGCTACTGTTATTGTTTATGTTTCAGCATTGCACATGTGACTGTGGTAGCTACACCAAAGACCTCTCGGCCATTACGGAGGATTTGTCGAGTATATTTATTTTGGATAATTCCCCTGGAGCCTACAGAGCATATCCAGGTAGAATCACTGAATTATAATATTATTAGAAACATTTGTGTTTTAGTGAACACGTGTGACTTTTTTATGTTTTCCACCTTTTGAAAAATTTAACACCTTCCTCCCTAATCACTAAATAACTGAAATCGTTTTACTTAAGATATAATCATTATTATTTTTGAATTTGAAAATCACTGCTTAGGTTGTGAAACAGAACTTCCACCACTCACAGCTGTTGCATCCAAATTCTTTCTGTCTATCCTCGTTGACCACAAAAATCTGTGTGTGTGATGTAGCATTATTTTTTAATATTTTTCTTCCTATCCAGGTAACGTCTAAAAAATTAGGAACTATTATTTTTCCCACAACTGTATTGATTGACTATCCAAATCTAAATTCTCTACTTCTTACCTTAGAACTACTCTAGATATTATCCTAGCCACATTCCTTCTATTATAAATTAATTTGTAGACCCGTATTACACTTTTTAAGTTGATAAGTTTAATTTGAGAAATCCAATTTTCAGGAACAAAAACATCTAATTTCTGTGTAATCCATTACTATTATTTGTCCGTAAGAAATCAATAACCCATTTCTGTGTAATCCATTACTATTATTTGTTTGTAAGAAATCAATAACCCATTTCTGTGTAATCCATTACTATTATTTGTTTGTAAGAAAGCAATAACTCATTTCTGTGTACTCCATTACTATTATTTGTTTGTAAGAAATCAGTAACTCATTTCTGTGTAATCCATTACTATTATTTGTTTGTAAGAAATCAGTAACTCATTTCTGTGTAATACATTACTATTATTTGTCCGTAAGAAATCAATAACCCATTTCTGTGTAATCCATTACTATTATTTGTCCATAAGAAATCAATAACTCATTTCTGTGTAATCCATTACTATTATTTGTTTGTAAGAAATCAGTAACTCATTTCTGTGTAATACATTACTATTATTTGTCC